AGCTACCATTGAATTTAAGAACCATTTTAAGAAACTGAAAGCACCTTATGTAGTATATGCCGACTTTGAATGTTTAACAGTGCCCATTGATGTTAAAAGCAAATCGACAAAAGCGACAACAACATCATATCAAAATCATCGTCCTTGTGGTTTTATGATTAATGTAGTCAATGCCATCACTGGAAGCAGTGAGCCCTATGTATACAGAGGCGAAGATTGTATGGATAAGTTCGTTGAGAAAATGAATGAAGTCAGAGATGATGTAATAAAGAAAATGAAGGAAGTGAAAGAGATAATCATGACTGAGGACGATAAAACAGATTTTGACACTGCTACTAAGTGTTTCGTTTGTGGAAAGGGCTTTCAAGAAGGAGATAAGAAGGTTCGTGACCATTGCCATTTTACTGGTAAATATAGAGGTTGTGCTCATGATGATTGCAATCTTGCTTTTAGTATGAGATATTATAAAATACCAGTCTTTCTTCACAACCTGAAAAACTATGACGCTCACTTAATCATCAATAAGGCACACGAACTGAGCAAGAATGCTAAAATCGATTGCATCGCACAGAACAGCGAGAAGTTCATAACCTTTGGTTTTAAAAACCTTTGTTTCAATCACAGTTTTAGCTTCTTATCGTCTTCGTTGGATAAGTTGGTAAAGTTGAGTAAGTATGAAGATGATAAAAGGCGTGAGAACTGGAAGAACAATTTTAGATACAGTGTTAGAAATCCATATGTTAAAACCGATGAAGATTTGGACTTGTTGACTGATAAGGGGATTTATCCTTATGACTATTTTGATAGTTTTGACAGATTTACTGAAAGAAACTTACCATCAAAAGAAGCGTTCTACAGTAAATTAAGTGAGGAACATGTCAACGACAAAGATTATGAAAGGGCACAAAGGTTTGGAAGCACTTCGGTATTAGAACATTAGGACAATATCACGATTTGTATTTGAGAACCGATGTTTTATTATTGACTGATGTTTTTGAAAATTTTAGAGACTTATGTATGGAATACTACGGTTTGGACCCCGCTCATTATTATACGCTTCCTAACTTCGCTTGGGAAGCTATGTTGTTGAAAACTGGTGTTGAAATTGAGCAGTTGCACGATAAAGAAATGTATGAGATGGTTGAACAGGGAATGAGAGGAGGTATGTGTCAGGTCAGTCATAAACTGGCTGAGGCAAACAATAAGTATATGGATGAAGCCTTTGATGAAAGTAAACCGTCAAGTTATATCAATTACTTAGATGCTAACAATCTGTATGGTCTGGCAATGTCTCAAAAATTGCCTTTAAAGAACATCAAATGGGCAAAGAAAACACCTAACATTGAAAAGTGGGATGAAAAAGATGAGTACGGTTTCATCCTTGAAGTGGATTTGGAATATCCAGAAACACTACACGACTACCATTCGGACTATCCACTAGCACCTGAAATCATGAATGTCAATGCTAACATGCTTTCAGACTATCAAAAGGAAATCTTCAAAATCTACTATGGAAACAAAGAACCGAAGGACGAGAAAACCAGCAAGTTAATATTAAATTTGAAAGATAAAGAAAAATATGTTGTTCATATCAAGACTTTACAGTATTATCTAAAAATGGGTATGAAACTCACCAAGGTTCATAGGATAATAAAATTTCAACAGAGGGCTTGGTTGAAACCGTGGATTGACTTCAACACTGGCAAAAGGAAAGAAGCGAAGAGCGACTTTGAGAAAGACCTGTTCAAATTAATGAATAACGCGGTGTATGGAAAAACTATGGAAGACAAAAGAAAACATATGGATTTTGAATTGGTAGATAATGATGTTAGGTATGAAAAATGTGTGAATAATCCAACATTCAAAAATAGATTTATCATTAATGAACATCTGGTAGGAGTGGAGAAAACTAAAGCTAAACTGAAATTGGATAAACCCATATTCTTAGGAATGACAATATTGGAATTGAGTAAATTACATATGTATGAGTTTTACTATGGTGTGTTGAAAAAGAAATCTAACGAAAATATCAAATTGATATATACAGATACTGACAGTTATGTAATTCAAACCTTCACGGATGATGTCTACAAGGATTTTCAAGGTATCAAGCAACATATGGATTTTAGTGATTATCCTGTTGAACATCCATGCCATGACACAACAAATAAGAAGGTCTTAGGAATGTACAAAGATGAATGCTCTTCAAAGATAATTACAAAGTTTATAGCACTCAAGCCAAAGTCATACGCTTTCACAATCCACGGTGAAGAAGAAGAACATAAGAAATCTAAAGGTGTTGTTAAACATAAGGTTAAAAAGGAATTAACATATCAAAACTATGAGGAATCACTGCATCACAACAAAAAGCATGAAATCTCCTACAACTTCATCAGGAGTCGCACTCATCAGATTTATTCGATGTCTCAGGTTAAACAATCTCTGAGTAATTATGAGAATAAAAGACATTACTTTGATGCTTTTAATTCTTTGCCCTATGGTCATTTCAGGATAAAATGAATTGAAGAAAAGATGATTAAAGATATTAACAGATATGGAAAGATATAAGAACGGTAAAATTTACAAAATAGTTGATGTTGGTTATGAAAAGTGTTATGTAGGAAGCACGTGTGAGGAACTAAGCCAAAGGATGGCAAGACATAGGCAGAAATATTATTTCAATGAAAGGCACGGGCGAAACAAACATTCAAATTCTAGAGTGTTGTTTGACGAATACGGGGTTGAGAATTGTAAGATAGAACTCATTGAACACTACCCGTGTGATAGTAAAGAGCAACTACTTAGACGAGAAGGTTATCATATCCAAAATACAGAATGTGTCAATCGTTGTGTGGCAGGTAGAACACCAAAAGAATACAAAGAAATGTACAACCCACTTAACCAAGAGAAAATCAAGAACGGGATGAAAGAATGGTATCAAAACAATGAAGAAGAACATAAACAACATAGAAAAGAGTATTACCAAATGAATAAAGAACAAATTCTTGAAGAAAACAAGCAGAATGTAGTGTGCGAAGTCTGTGGAGCAGTAGGTCGCAAAAGCAAATTAAGCAGACATCAAAAGACTAAGATGTGTCAATTATATAAATCAAATAACAATGAACATAATGAAGATAATTAAAATACATATCTAAATAATTCTAATAATATGAAATTATTAGAATTATTTAGTGGTACAGGTAGTGTTGGTATGGTCGCTCGTGATTTGGGTTATAATGTTTGTTTGTTAGTTTGTTTGATGGAAGGGGGGATGAAGCATTACAAGCAACCAGCATCATCAGCAATCAGCATCATCAAAAACCAGCATCATCAGCGAAAAGCATCACCAGCGATTGAACCATGTGCCCGAGCCATCCTGAAAAGCGCTTTTTGGTTTTCTGAAAAGTGGATTTTGGAAGTTCAAAAAGTGTCCCGAAACTGTCATTTTAGATGGTTTTTTGGAACTCCGAAAAGTGGATTTTGGATTTCCGAAAAGTGGATTTTGGATTTCCGAAAAGTGGGTTTTGGATTTCCGAAAAGTGGATTTTGGATTTCCGAAAAGTGGATTTGAGGAAATCTGTATCGCTCTGGTCTCACTTAGTCAGAAAGCAAAACACGAAAGAACAAATAAACACATCAACAATGTTAAGAATACAAAACCACCAAAGACTGAAGAAACAACAAAAGAATACAAACGGCAAACAATACAGGAAGAGATAAGAGAATACATTGAAACCTCATCAGATTTTGAATACGCGATGGATTAAGATTATTCATATTATTCTATAACTATAATATGATTACAACAACGTTTTATAATCTAACAAGGCATTTAAATGAAACCTGAAACCCCCAGCTAAAAACTACTTAAAGAAAAAATATATATAAAATATTAAGAGTAAAATGACACTATTTAATTATGATAATTGCCCATGCAAATATAAAAACTGTAAGTCTGTTGTAGCACTAGCAAATATTTTACCTGTTATTGTTTGTAATCTTATTAGTGATTATAGTAAAAACTTGTGTTTTAATTGTAGGTATTTGAGTGATGAAGAAGAGCATTTTATGCGTGATAAACACATTCCTGAAGAAGGGCTGGAAAAAGCAGAGCTTCAGTTAAGGATTATTAAACAAATGCTAAATAATGATATTACACATCTAACAGGAATCCCTTATGATAACAAACAATACAGAAAAAGCATTGACAGAATATTTGATAAACAAGAGGTTAAAGAAAGATTTAAGACTAGGAAAATGTATCTTCAAGCAATGAAATCATACTGCAAAAATAATAATGAGGAAGTTACTGTACTTTTAAAACATTGTCTTAAAATTGAAGAATTAAAGTTTATCATAAATAGTGATTTGTTCTTTCCTAACCTAAACAATTGGTGGTCATATAGAAATCATGATTTTTATATGAGAAACATATTAAGCGACTTAATTGAAATTTACACAGACCATTTAATAAAAGGATACAAGCATTATTGTTGTGAGTATGGTATGAGTTGTTATAGTGGTTGTATCTCTGATGAGATTAAATACGAGAGACACTAACTGTTGTTTATTCATATTGTGTAATTATGATATAATTATAACATTTATATTATTATATGTTATAATTATAGTGAACTTTTAACCTATAAACATTTCATTAAATGACAAACCAGAAGACCCGCCCAAAAGCCAACCCGTGAAACCACAGAAAGTCCTATCCTCTTTCAATCAATAAAACTAAAAGTTGAAATCTGGAACAAAACAGGGGACCAAATCATCAATTCGTTACCTCATTCATATCGTTATTTCATGCCCCCAAAATCAGCCTTTTAAAAACGAATAAGGTGGTACACGTGTTGAATTGTGAAATAAAAAAACAGAACAGGCAACCATCTACCCCCCACCCCCTAGGACAAGCCTTTTCTACATTTTTTTTTTGGGGGGGAAGTTAAAAAATGCGCGAATGCCCAAAGCACTTCAAACCGAATGGTCCAAAGGGCAATGGCAAAAACGTAGAGCAGGATCAACTGCAGGCACATGATGAAGAAGACCTGTCTTGAATTCAGCAACTTAGACGCTTCGGGACTCAGTTCTCCCGCCCTCGCCAGGAGGCATCAACTCAGTCACATGCAACTTGTTCAACAGATTGCAAATTGCCTGCCCACGGTGGAAACGTTCGAGACATGAAATTGAGCCAAGGATGGCTTTGACAATCGGAGCCAAGAAACATTAAATTGAACAGGTTGTTCTCACTGTAGCCACCCGCATCATAACTTATAACTAACAATGGCTGATTGTTTGCGCCACATGTGTCCTTGAAGAAACTTGCAACACCGTGCAAGTGTTGCCAGGTTGATGAGCACACTGCCACAAAAGTTGTCTTGCTTTGACTGCCAGGGCGCAGAAGTGGTCGCAGCAGCCATACCCTTGATTAGGATCATCAACCTCAGATCTCGCTGTGTCTGCATGTGGCTTCTGATCATGTCAAAGCACTTCTCTTCCCGGATGTCAGACTTTGGTTTGCAGGGGCAGCAAGAAAGTGCCTGGCAGTACATTGCATTGCGACCTCATGCTTTCAAGCATTGAGTGAGAGCAGCAGCTTCCTTGGTGTTTGCTTCTGTTTCGATCAATGCTGCACTTGCTGGCAATTCTGGCTTCAAGCTCCTTGCCCAAACCCAAATTCTGGCAGCAAGTTCAGCATCAGGAGCGCTTACGCTCCAAAACTGAAAATGCAAGATCCAACAAAATCAGAGATGGTCTGTGATAGGCGCTGGTTCAAGGTGCGCGATTTAGCTGAGCACCGTGACGGTTCATGCGAAGGAAAGAAGAAAGTGGGCCCGGGGTGGATGTCTCAGTATTCGCAAAATGTGCTTCAGAGTAAGACTACTGTTGCTGACTCATTCACCTCATTGATTCTTGCAAAGTCAGGAGCCAGCAAGTCGAGGCAGGCTGCCAATGGAAGCCAAAGATAAGAATGCCACAGGAAGCTCAACAAACTGCCAAAAGCTCATAGCAACAAGCAAACAAGGCTGTAAAGCTGTTGACGGATGATGTGGGGCCGACAACATGCTCCACCGCAGAGCACGGACGCTCTGCTGCCAAAGTCCATTCCCTTAACATGGCATTTAGGCCAACGACTTTTTGCACACAGCAAAACATATACGGTTTAAACCTAGCCGAGCATACTGCGCGCCGAGCCTGTTCTCTACCTCTGCTCTAAGCCATCGGCTCTGGCATGGACCGCAGCATCCGCGCCATGCGCGACAGGCGCAGCAGGCGGAAGAGCCGCAGAATCGACGCCTCGAGCAGCGGCTTTTCTCGTCACACGTGGACATAACCTTCCGCTTAGTCCGCGTTCAAGACTGCTGTTTGGATTCGAATCGACTTGCAATCTTGCCAACAGGCATCAAAGGGATGACACCATGTGTCCAGAAAGCTGATCATTTTGCATTGGCCTGCGTGACGTCTAGTGCTTCTTGTTGTAGGCAATGGCCAAACATCCTGGTTGTGTCTTTATTCAGCAATGTTGCTGAGGGAAAAGAAACCCAACGATTTCTGACGCGCGATGTTACAACCAAGCCTACCCAACGAAGCCCGGGAGTTCACCCGCACATGAGCTTGCCACGGAAAAAATCAGCGCTCCCAGCTTCGAGCTGGGCGGCGTTCCCCAGGTCCATGGAGATGGGACCGCCAGGGCCCATGATGAGCATCAGCAACGTCATGACAACAGTTTCCCCAACCATCAAGAAGACCAAAATGCCTCAGCTCGATCAGGATACTGAAAAATCATAACCTGGTCACCTCTGGGTCTCAAAGGAAGATGTTTGACACAAGCCTTGACATGCCACCGGCAGAAATCATATGGGACACACAGGCACCAAAGCAAGTGACGATGGGGAGTTGCAGGAATTCCTCCCAAAGCCAATGATGGGAGCGGACCCCATGGCCCCCTCCATGCCTGTCTGCGGAAGGCTTTTTCCACTTCAGCCGAGAGGCTGTCAAACACAAACCAGCCATCTCTCATCGTGTTGCACTTCCGCTCGAATGCCATAAAGCGGATGTACCACTCCATGGTGTAGTAGGTGCAAAAGAACTGGGCGAGCGCTTTAGACCAGTCCAACACTCATGGCCACAAAGAGGCTTCCTTTGCAAGCTGGCTACAAGCAGTCCAAGCGGCAATCTCTGCTATCTGGAACTCCAGGCGGGCAGTGAGCAGTGAGTCTGCGTTGTTGCTGTTGGTGTCATACGCCAGCCACAGCGCATTCAGACCTCGAAGCGAGGCAAGGAGCCACTGGAGCTGGAGCCACTGGAGCCTAGACCAGGCTTTCTACTGCTGCCTTTGGTGATGCATGGATTGTCTCTAATGCCTCAAACCTTGGGACAAATGTTCAATGATTCAAGCTTGACCAAGCCTCCCAGATCAACACAGCTCAGGTACGACCAAAACAAAGTGCAATACTGCCAAGGACCTTTCAGCATCACAGTCTCTTCTGGTTTTCCCTTTAATCAGGACGCACCCGGGTCAAGCACTCCTGACAGGGCAATGCATCGACGGCGGCTTGCCTGCCTATCACGCCGAGGGTAAGCGACTCAAAGATGGAGGACTTGGCTAACCACTGGAAGAATCCGGTCCTGAGAAGCAAGCCAACGGCTAGACTTCCCTCTGGTGGTTTCTGGTCGCATTGGGTATGATTGATAGAGAAGATATGCCAATGGACAATCTACATGTAGTGCAAAATGATTGTGGTCGGTAAATCCTGCGAAAGGGGGAGGAAAGATGAAGCCCAAACTGGCAGACGGAGAAGAGAGAGAGAGAGAGAGAGAGAGAGAGAAGGAGCGCAATGTATCGTCCAACACTCAAGCCAAGCATCCTGTGATAAAAGTCGAAGACCTCAGAGCTCCGAAAATGTAGCTTTAGAAATCGGTAAGCTTCCAACATGCTGGGGTTCAGCAAAACCAACACGTACATTTGAATACATGCTAACGAAGAGTTGAAAGACAGCATGGCCCAAGTTGGTCAAATGAGTCTCAAGCGTCTAAAATTCCCAAAAGCCAAGTTGCATTGTAGCTGGGCTTTGCCAACGCCTCCTTGACTTTCTGCTTCATCTCCTCCGCATCCAGAAAGACCCTGCTCCGGCCGTGGCTTCCTGGGGAAGACAGCTGTTGAGGAATGCCAAGCGGAGCCGGTCATTCCTGTGCATGGCCAACTAGAGTGATTCCGTCACCGTCAGATGGGTCTTGCGAATCAGTTGGGGTCAAGCAGCTGTGCTCACAAAGAGTTGACATATATAACCTGTCTATCCTCTTGAGCAACTCTGGAATCTCTTTTGCCGAGGAAACGACAAAGATTGCAACTCATGCTTGTGAACGTAACCAGTTGCTAGCCAATCAACTCACTGACATGTTGCCTTCCAGCATGCCTTAGCTACATCCTCACATGTCGCAAAGATGTCACAGCCAAACGCGCCTTGTCGTACCAACGGCTGCGCCCTCGGCAACTGGAGCGAGAATTTGAGTCCAAAATGAAATTTGGCTGAGTTGGGGCAAGTTAAAATAAGAGAACACGGACAAACAGGGCATTTCATGCGGTAAGGTGGGTGTGTGATGCTTTCAATAGCAATTCTTTCCAGGGTTTCCAATAACCCCCTGTTTCAGAAGGCTCATGAAGAGCTTCTTGTGGTGTGTGTGTGTGTGTGTCTATCCAAAGCAGCACATGGTCTTAGATCTCAAGAAGGTAACCCGTGCAGCCCTCGTATCAAAACGGATCAGGCGTCGCTTTCACGAACTGCAATTTAGGATGGCTGTCATGGCATGTTCAGCCCATTGCGCCCGATAAGTATGGCCTCTTCTGTCAAGTAGAATGAATGCTTGTTCTCCATCGCGCCCAGGCAGCCGCACTCTTCGGGCCTTTTCCTGTCTGGTCTGGGCGTTTTTCCCCATCTGGGCCTAACCTTGGCCGGGAAAGCCGTGCAAGGCAGCCTGAATTTCTGCAGTTGGTTAAAAGATGCCACTGCTCTTTGTACAGCGTTGTGCTGTACAGTTTCAAGCCTGTTGGCAAAGCAACGTCTTCTTTGCTGTGAATTGCCCAGTGTCATGGATGCATTGGGTGTAGCATCGCCGATTCACCAATCGAGGCTTCAGAGCACTGGCAGTGCAAGCCAAGACGCTAATTCGCGCACGTGCGACAAAATGCGTGCATGGCAGGCATGGATTTCCTGGAACGCAGTGCATGAACCTATACGTTGCATTGGTTCCGGCTCCCACACACGACAACACAAACAAAGCCCTGTCGTTGCCGTGGGTTGAAACAAAGTCATCCACCAGGAGCCGCTCTTTCATCCCTCTCGCCACGGGTTCGGTTGTTTTGCTGGTTGTCAAGGCTCGAGCAACTAGAGTGGAAGCTAGACCAAACAAAGAACGCAAGAAGTCCGAAAATGGATCAAACTCCAGTGGCGAAATGTTGTGAGGGGAACTGCGGCGGGTAGGAACAATCTTCAAAGAGTTGTTTGACGGCAAATTTGAAGCCTTGGAGCACCCTGAACTCACTAACGTGAGGGTTCTTCAAAATCATACTCTGCGGGAAATGTCAACCACCTCATGGCGAAGGTGTGTGTGTGTGTGGCTGCGTGTGGTTGCTGATGTCACTGCATTTCCCCGAGAGTATAGTATAGCGAAAGCAGGACATCTAGTGTGAGTTTGTGCCAGGTTTGGTTGCAGTTGCTAGAAGCTGATGAAACACTTCTGCACGTGACTAACTTCCTGGCAAAACTCAGCAATCAGTCCTGCAACTGCCACTCAGACTCATCTGGTGGGCACTTAAAGCTTAAAAGAAAATATTGCGACACAGCCCCAAAACATCCCGTGTAAGAGCATGGTGTGCACTTGGATTGGTCTTGGCAATGCTCCAACACGAGAGGTCTGCTACCACAAGCCACAAGTCCTGCTACCACCAGACCTTGCAGGCTTGGGAAATGCCAACGGGGGAGTCTGCGGCAGCGAGCGCGAAGCTCGTAACTGAGTCGCATGGGTCATTCTACCCCGCAAAACAATTCGGGTATTAAGCAATGTGCTGCAATCTGCTGTGCCTAAAGCTGCCGAAACTGAGTCCTGTGTGCTCGCTTTTAATGGTCTGCGGCCATGGCCTAGGCCCTAGGCCACTGATCGAGACCGGCGGTGTGGTGGCTGAGGGCGGGTGTCAAACCTCGAGCTTTCAGCAGGCATGAGTGACATGGGAATGTGTCAGAATGAGCAAGGAAACAAGAAACACACAACGAACAGTCTGACAGTGCCCCCGAATCTTGGGACATATCTGTATCATTTACCGTGCTGACAGATTCCAACTGAGATTCGGCTGCACTTCATCGCGTTTCTCCCCGTGCTTGGAGCATGTGCCCACAACATGTGTTTGCTCTTTACCATCCCCCAAACAGATAGAACAAATTGTCCTAATCGCCTATGGTGCAAACGATGGGTTTTTCATGGTTCCAATGGTCCAATCTGTCCTACAGGTTTTCTTCATAGCTCGAGCGCAGAGTGAGCATGCTTCTGTCAAGCAGCTGGATGAATGTCCTCGTCACCGGCAGCGATGGAGTAGCTGGCAGCGACGTCGCCCTTGCCCAATAGATGCTTTGATCACTAAGGCTGTCCAAGTCATTTTCCTCGGTTGCAAGGCCTGCGTTTTACAATGGTAAGCTGTGCACGAACACGCATTCTACTCAAACGCTGGTTTCGACATACCCACGGGGATCAATGTCTGATTGCAAGTCCAACCTGCATGAGCTGCCCATGCTTTGCCTCTGGCTTGAAATGGATACGAGCAAGCTTGAGCTGAGAGACCTCTGCAGTTGTGTGCGACTCATCTTCTGTGACACACTGCATCTCTTCCACCACCTCAGCTTCGATGCTTACCTTCCAGAAAAGTGCCAAGTGCCATCTCAATCACCATGCCCGAGCGGCCTGTGCAGTCAGCTTTGCAGTGGTTGTGGTTGCAAACTGTTGCGTCATGATCGCCGCTTGTGGCTCGGCTGGCACCGGTGAAAGTGCCATTGGTCGCATTGGCACCTGACATCGATAGCGGGTGCAAGCCCAGCTCCAAAGACTTTCGGGGGTACGGTCTGTTTCGGGAGCCATTTTCGGAAACGCCCAGGTCCAAGTTCGAAGATGGCAAGCGCTAAAATTCGGGAACACCTGGGCCGCTTCGGGAAACGTGAAAAGGGAATAGGTGCCAGCCATTTCCTACTGCTCCGCGCAGTTCCACACTCTCTCATCATCCCAACTGTTCTAAGGATCCCAACCGCCGACCACTCCAGCTGACCCGACCATCAATTATCACGACCACCCCAATTGTTTCATGCCCAGCCTACTTACACCTTCGACCACTGCAGCGGTTGACCATTTCTTCGTCCGGACCAGCCAAACCATTCCAACCGTCCTGACTATCCTGTCGCCACACTCGCGACTGAATCGACACCAAATCAACCTTGCACAAACCCTGAGCAAATCCTAAGCCCACCCCGAACCAACCCTAACCCCACCCTCAACCCACCCAAACCCAGCCCTACCATCCCGCCACCAATCCCTACAGCTGTTTCCTGCAAACGTTGTGTCCAGACACTACTCTGTCTGTTCCCTGAATCTTGCATCTCCCTTCCAGAGGTTTGCCTTTCCGTTTTCTCAATCCTTTCTGTTTCCAGAGTTTGTCTTTCTGTTTCCTGAATAACACATTTCTGTTTTCTGAATTGTGTTTTCCTGAACTGTGTCTTTGTATCCTGGATTATTCATTGCTTCCCAGATTTCTGGCTAACGAAGAAGTGTTCCATGCTGACGCTGGCTACGACAACCCATGCTACCACGCAGCTTGCCTGCAGACATCTTGCCAAGGCACAAATACCGGTACCGGTACCAAGAAAGCCCTCATCGGCGCGCATGCGGGCGCAAGTGCGGCGTGCTGCGGATCTTCCTCGGGCGCTTTAACTGCCGTCTCCTTGGATCACTGCTTGCATGCACTGAAGCTCAGACTGAAAGGGACTCTCTCAATTGGCTTCAACCCCGTGCGCCCAAGTTGCTTCCATGTCCTTGAAACGGTTCATGGCCTGCGACAGGGTAGGAGTGTCACTCATGAAAGTCAAGTTAGGATAGGAAGAGACAGCAGAAAAGAGAAGGAGAAACGGCTAAAGCCACTCGTTGCCACTGTTCACACCAGCAAAATAGTACAACTAGACTCCCGCACTCACAATCTCGAATCAAAGGTGCTAGGCCTGCTCAAAGTCGTCAGCCGGCAGCATGGCCCCCAGCTTCTTGTGAAGCCGCTGGCGCACCCGGCGCTTCAAAGCGCGGTTGGGCGCCTCTGCACTAGCTCTGGCCGCAGCTGCGAGAATCTCTTCCACCACAGACGCTGATAATGTCTTCCTGCAACGCTCGGAAACCTCTTTCTCTTCCTCTTCTTTCCTCTCTGTCTCTCCAAGTCGCGATTGCAAGATTGAGACAGCAATCAATGATTGTTGACTTGTGCATGTCAAAACGACTCTCGCTTTCACCTACGGCATGAGTGCTAAATTCAGAAGTCGAAGCGCAAGGTTGCTCAAGAGATTTCTTCGGGCTCAAACCTGACACATGGACCAACCTGCAAAAGCACAGCCATGCTGCTTTTGAATGGCTTTCTGTCTTCTCTAAAGTGGCCACGTTCACAAATAACAATTCAAGCGAACAACATGGTCAAGGCGTTCAGCTTTTGCAGGCTATTTTGTCGCCCAGCCTCCTGTTGCGGCGCATGTGTTCCGCAACGGGTGTGTTGCACATGACTATGCACCCTCGAGAGGGACTGTATGATGCACGTGCTTGAACCGCCAAAATGCTGCCGTTCATGCTGCGTGCAATGCAGCATTCCAAGACGTCCTCCCAGATTGCATGTCTCGGGGCTGCAGCACCGTATTACTCTTTGACACAAAAAACATACCGCTTCTTGGACTCGGGAAATGTGATATGAGGCCCCCTTCTGCAAAATGCTTGTGGAGTCTGGGTGCTGAGCAAACCTGTGATAGCTTGGCCGACCTGTGTTCACAACCTGTCCAGAACCTTCCAGAAACAGTGGAGTGTCAAGTATATATATATATATGTCGGGGGGCCTATGGGCGGGGGGCGCTATCGGGGGGGGGGGGGGGGTATCCCTGGATAAGCCCAGGATAACCCACGGATAAACCCTGGCTTGATAAGGGATAGCCCCCCCTCCCCATAGCCTTCTTTGCGGGTCCATGACAATAGGCTACGCATCTGAGGATCCGGGCATTCCCACAGGCTGCACATCACCGTCCACAACATGCTCTGCCATTGCCGGACGAGAGAGTAGCCGCTATACTGAAAACGTCTGTGGCTGTGCTGAACATCAAGTGGGCTGAAACGACAAAGCAAATTTGAAGCACTCTGGTTTGTCTCGAATGGCCGTTCACAGAACCGCTGTTATCATGAAGGAGAGTCTCCAGAATCCTGCAGGTATGCTGAATTTCTCCTCACCTTGTCCAACTTATTCATACAGCACATGTTGGACCTACACTGGCTGAAAGCCAGACTCCTGCGCAGCTGAGAGGCGCTGATTTGTGAGTGAAAGCATGCAGAAAAACTACAACAACAAGTAATGATTCCTCCAACAGAAATCATCGTCTCGAAAACGCTCATAAGCTCAGAAGTCAAATGAGATCATCAAAGCGCTCCATATGCTCCGGGCTCCAGACCCCCCAAGCCCAATGCCTCGGCGGTTCTCCCTCGGATACAATCCGAACTTGTGGAACGAGCGCGGGGCAATCAGAAAGAACGTCACGGGCAGGACAAGCCTAGGCCCGGCTTAGCATAGCATGCCTGGACATAAACCCGGGATGGGCGGCAACACACAGGATGAAGGAAATATGATTGAAACACTGCTCCAAGGACAACCCTACTTCGAGAGGAACAAACAATGAAGAAAAGGGCGGCAGCTGCGTGTGCGTTCAAAAGTGAGCATGCAGGACCTCAAAATGCTGCGCTTACAGCGAGGCTAGCCTTGAGCCATCGGCGCGCCTCACGCCCGTGAGTCTCACACTGCGGTGCTATATATATATATATATATATTTATTTACTTACTTCATTATTATTTTTATTTTTATTTGTGTTTATTAGTATTATTATCATGTTTATTTTTATCATTTTTATTATTATCATTATTATTATTGTTATTATTATTCCTATTATCATTATTATTATTACTATTAGTAATATTATTATTATTATCATTATTATCATTATCAATATTATTCTCATTATTGTCATTATCATTATTATCATTATTATTATTGTTATCAATATTATTATCACTATTGTCATTATCATTATTGTCATTATCATTATTATCATTATTATTATGTTCATCAGTATTATCATTATTATCATTATTATTATTAGTATTATCATTCTTATTATCATTATTACTATTGTTATTATCATCATTATTATTATCATTATAATTATCATTATTATCATTATTATTATTATCATTATTATTAGTAGCATTAATATTATCATGATTATTATCATTATTATTATCATTATTATTATTATCATTATTATCATTGTTATTATTATTCCTATTATCATTATTATTATTACTATTATTATTATTATCATTATTATTATTATTAGCATTATTATTATCATTACTATTATCATTATTATTGTTATTATCATCATTATTATTATTATCATTATTATTATTATCATTATTATCATTATTATTATTATCATTATTGTCATTATCATTAGTGTCATTATCATTATTATCATTATTATTATGGTCATCATTATTATCATCATTATTATCATTATTATTATTAGTATTATCATTCTCATTATCATTATTACTATTGTTATTATCATCATTATTTTTATTATCATTATTATTATCATTATTATCATTATTATTAGTAGCATTAATATTATCATTATTATTATCATTATTATTAGCATTATTATTAGCATTATTATTATTATCATTATTATTATTATCATTATTATTATTATCATTATTATCATTATTATTATTATCATTATTATTAGTAGCATTAATATTATCATTATTATTATCATTATTATTATCATTAGTATTATTATCATTATTATTATTATCATTATTATTATTATTATTGCTATCATTATTATCATCATTATTATTATTATCATTATTGTCATTATTTTTATTATTATCATTATTATTATTTTTAGCATTATTATTATCAATATTATTATCATTATTACTATTGCTATTATCATCATTATTATTATTATCATTATTATTATTATTATCATTATCATTAGTATTAGTATTATCATTTTTATTAGTATCATTGATATTATCATTATTATGAGTTGTTTTATCATTATTAACATTATCATTATTATTATTATCATCACTATTATTATCATCATTATTATTATCATTATTATCATTATCATTATTATCATTATTATTATTATCATTATTATTAGTATTTTTAATATTATCATTATTGTTATTAGTGTTTATCATTATTATTATTATCATTACTATTATTATCATCATTATTATTATCATTATTATCATTATTATTATCATTATAATTAATATCATCATATACTTATACATTATGCAACCCCCTTCCCCCAAAACAATAACAAACGCCGGCCGCTTATGGAAGGGGGTCAAGTCATTTTTGACAGATATATGCAAAAGTGAGCTCATTTCACTCACAATTTTGGCAGACTTAAATTGATTAAATCCGGTGTGGGGCCCCCTAATCGCTTTGAAGCGCTTTTATCATGGATTCAAGATTCAAGAACTAGAGTTCTGGGAATCTTGAATCTTGAATCTTAGATCCCAAAGTGCTTTAAAGCGCTTTAAAGAGTTTTAGGTGGATACAGTCACAGTCAATTCTCAACAGATGCGGGCATAGTCAAATGCTCAAAATTGGTGTGCCTGGGGAGGGGTTGGAAATCGCGCAAAGTACTGCAAATACCGTCAAATTCTCTCGGGGCGTGGTTGTTTGTCCCTTTTTTTTTGGGAGAGGGTACCATATATATATATATAGTCAGAGCGCAGCCAGCACGAACCCGGTCAGCCAACCCGCTCAGCTTCCAGACAGCCCCGAGGTGCATAGCAGCATCGCAGGCTCTGGCCCTGCGAAGTTCAATCCAAAGACTTGCTGCATGCACTTGGGACAGCATTCATAGAAATTCCGAATGTTCTCCTGCCTGTCATGCAGCGGCCTTTGAAGAAGAACCTGCGCGCAGCGCTTCGGTCTGCGGCTCTTGCCACGTTAACATGCACGCCTGTTGTTCCCCGGCCAGGCTTGCCATCCTGGGAGAGCTGAAGCCAATAGACATGTCATTCTGCGTATGTTGACTTCTTGCCCCACAACTAACACTCGTTGCTCCGAGCCACCTGGTACCATCTGTGTGCCCGTTCTCGCCTGATCTCAGCTTGGCATCTGAAGCATCTTGCCATCAAGTCTCGGTTCTCCCATTTCAAACGAAACAAAACATAAAAGCAAAAGGAACAAAATGTCAGATTCAGGAAGTGCAAAGACCTTATCGTCAATCACCTCGTGACACACTGCACTCTCTACCATAGCTGCCCTCGTCACCTGGTCTATTGCCAGTATGTCGCTGGGAGTGCCTCCAGATCTGGATCTGGCGAGTCCTGGCAGTTGCAGACTCGACCTTGCAACCCTTTCTCAAAACGGAATGACACGTGCAACATGAGGGATGGCAGCATTGGCCGCAGCTGCGCTGGTTTTGGGTTCAAAGCAGCATGTCTTGCTTGCAGTTGCAATCGGCCTGCTACTAGGAGCAAGATCGGAGAACATTGCAACTCCGATCCGAGGAGTGGCCCAAAAGGTCAGAAGGTGAGTCGCTTGGCCTCTGCCCCCCGCACGCGCCTGGTCATGGAAAACAGTCCTGCCACTGCACGGCAACATGCCACAGTAATTTGCCCAGCATGGCAGCCTAACAATGTACATGAATGACATTAACGTTTGGCTGGACATGACAGCTGAAAAAGCGCGAAGGCCCAACAGCTAGACCCCAGCAGCTATTGGAGTTCAAGCCTGCTTCCGGCAATTAAATTCCAGCAACGGGCCAGTCGAGCAACTGCACACCAGCAGTTATAATCCAAGATTCAAGGGTATTAGCTGAGCTCAATCATGAGCCCAAGATTGCAAACTCGGACCTAAGATGTCCACAAGTGAAAAAAGAACCACGCCCCTTTGCCCACAGCCCACCCGTCCCCGTTGGCAGCGCCACCACGGGGCTGTCCAGCTCCACCATGGACTCTCGCCTAGGCCACTTTCCATTTTGAGTTGCGGAGGTGACTGTTCAAAGGATGTGTAAGAAGCACCGAAGCCACGGGCACGTACTTGGAAGGTGGGCTTGTTTGTATTTGCGTGGGCACGAATTCTCACTGGCAGTTGCAAGTAGCCTGCTGCAAACAATAGGTTGCACCTTTTCTCACACGTTCCTTGCAGTCCGCACGCGGATCTAGCGCGCGCTGGTGGTGATTGCAGATAATGGTGGATGGAGGGTGGCCCGCCAATCGACGACCACCTCCGAACCCGTCAGCTCAGAACTGGTAACCTGAGACCGACGTTCTCGATAGGTTTCTCCAATTCCAACGAGAACATCCAACCTCAGAGCGGGCGGAAACATCCAGCAACCAGCCCCACCTCTCACAGCCCACAGTCACCCGGCTGAGCCTGGCATGAACGCTTGTAAGCCCAGCCGATCTGGCGGCATGGATGGCCAGGCCCGGTGTAGGTTGCTGGTCGGCCCTGCGGTGCGGGTGTCCGGTCGCCGCTCCTTTTCAAGGTGTAAGTTGCCGGTCTTGGGCGCCCCGCAACTGTGCGGGATTGGCTCCAATGGCGGCCCTGTGGCAGTAGCATGGGCTCCCGGTTGCCGAGGTTGGTTGTGTTGCGGATTTCCTCTGGGTATGGGTGTCGGAGGAGCGGGCTGTCGATTTGCGATATAGTTGCCCTTGCGCGGCTTTGATGCATTCACACACGTTCGTCTCTCCATCTACTGCGCGGAATTTCTGCGACGCCCACAGCTGTGGCGATTCCAATGAGAAGCGCGTCAATGCCATCGGGGGGGCTCACTGGACGGATGGGAGCAAATCTGTCTGATCCTGCCGAGGCCGTCCGCATGACTGTTTCACTTTCACTTTGACTTCGTCTAGCGAAATTCTTGGAGGAAGGTCCGGCCAATTTCTATGGCTGTAGTATTCACACTCCCTGGTTCAGAGCCAACGCAGTCCCCGCACAGACTGCGACACCCCGCTAGGTGTTCCGTGAAAGCTAGGCAGGCATCGTTAAGGCCAAAACTGACACAAGTTGTGCGTGCACATTGTATGCCAGAAAAAGCTTCAATCCGAAGTGGCCCACGTGATGCAGAAACATAGGTCCCTAGGCCGTGTCCCAGATTGCTCAGCGCAATGACACCGCACCGTTGCCTAAGCATGGCCTTGCAAGTTTTGCGGGTTTTGGAAACATTATCAAGCAGGCAAAGAACTGCAGAGCAAAATATTGAGACCTAAGTCACGCTACACCCTGGTGAAATACACAAAATAGCCGCATGACTATGTCGGCGAAGGTCGAAATCCCGCCTTTGCAGCCTGCGCGACCAGACTGTGCAATCGCGAGTGCAGCATCTCTGAGTGGACTTGCCGTCCTGTCCCATTTCCTTTGCTCTTTACCCTTCCCCTTGCTCTTGTTTTGCTTGCCCTCAGCCATGCAAATGTGAGGTTGTCGTGGTCATCCCTCTCTGCTCTGCGTCCTCGCTCTCACTGTGGGCCGTTCTAGACTGGTACTTACATCTCCCTGACCCACCTGGTTCGCGTTGGCCTACCCGATGACGTGGCCAATCTGTTTGTTCAGCTCCATCGCTGGCATAGACGGCGTTCGCTCTGCGGGGAGAAGCGTTGCTATTTGCCGAGATCTCCTCTGCAGCTTTCGCAACCCCTCTGAGCTGCCGGAGCACCCTGGCGCAACTGTGTGCTTCCGCCAGAGCTGCATCTCTCGCTCCCACACGTTCAAAGTTTAAAGCAACCTGGCGTGGCTCGGTCGAACCACTGCGGCATCCTTATCCTTATATCCCACAGGTGATCCGACCATGGCAAATGACCCCAGAAGCACTAAATGCCTTCTGCATTCATCAGCCCCTTGTGCGAGCGGCGTCGTGGAAAGGTAGCCAGGAAGGGTCAGACCAAACTCTGAAAAGAAGCTATGTGCTGGGCAATGGGCAATGTGCTCCCGGGACATGTGGTGTCATTTCGTGCGGCCTCTGGATGCAATGCAAATCACACGGTAGCAAAGGGGTGGTACTGCGCAAACATCAAATCAAGACTTGTGGGTGTTGGACAATTTGCAGCCAGAACTCGCATGATAATCCTGTGGTATGGTCCATTCAATCGCATGCAGATGTGCACGTCCCCAGGATAGTGGCGTTGAGATTAAGAGTGTTTGAGTCCGCTGAGAGACGTAGAGCGATGGCTGCCCGGTTCATACATTAAGGTATCCTGAGGCAATCAACACCCCACTTTGTGTCGTCAGACCTGAGCTGCGGGCGTTCGTAGAGGAAGCGGCAAGTCAGCATGGCCTTGGCCACAATTCAGCTCCGTTGTGCTACATTGACGATTCAACCAAATCGGCTTCACAAAAAGCAGTTGCCAGCCAGTAGAATGCGTGAGTAAGTTATGACCTGATGAAAACCAACAAGCAACGCGAAGCCAACTGTTTCACCCAGATCTCGCAAACTGAAACTTTGGCTTGCATCCGGGGTCTTTGCCCACTTGCATAGCAGGGGGAGACGCGCCAGGTGCAAAGCGCGAAAACACATTGTGTCTCAATGGAATGTTTTATCAAGCCAGCTCCAATCCAAGCTGCTTCCAGAGTGCCACAAACTTGCCTCGCTGGGATGGCAACTCGAAGATTTCAATTGGATCACGGGCCCATTGCCAGCCATGACGCACGCATGCGGTTGCGCTGCTCACTTCTGCTGCTGGACGGTTAGGTTGAGCACTGTGGTCACGATCAGACATACGATGGCACAGGTCAGGATTGACCAGGCCGCCTGAGTTTTTGGTGATGGGCAAGGAAATCCCAATCCGAGAGGGCTCTGACAGAAGTGTGACAGCCCGCTCACTCGCTAAATGAACATGGTGCTTGATCGCAATGCTTCCGCAAACTTGCCTTGGACTAAAGAATTCTGGATTCTAAGACAAGGCACGCTGCACTGCAAGAAACTGCCCCAGAAGAGCAAAGGCGCCGCCTGCAAAGGAATGGCGCAGCCGTGGAAGGTTGACAAAACTGTCCAGGCCCTCACAAGCTCGCTACTGCCGCTTCACTTTCTTGCCTACACAGGAGTATGGCATCTCTCTAGTGGCAACAACAAGTAGAATTGTCTTGACCTGAAACAGATCTCCAGGTTTCTCCAAGCTTCTCGCCTTCGGCGCAGTCGCAGTGGTGCTGATGAGGTGGGTGCCAAAAGCTAGCCATCCAAAGGAGGCGGCGCATGCGATGATTTCCGCGAACGCACCTGCAACAGGATCATTGCACTAACTTGGACAGAGTGGGGTTTGCCTGAGTTTAAAGATTGAGAGCATGAATGCAGACCTGCTTGGATGACTATCAGAGATAGGTGCCAGACCGTGTCTGAATGTCACAGCGAGCCTCCGTGGGTCGCTTGATTCTTATAGAGCTCGTTCCAGTAGCGTACAACACCTCGGCTGGCCACGGCTGAAGTGCCATGTTGAGCGTTGCGTTTCATTTGTTCCGGAAATCGACAGGCATCAGGTGTGAATGTACATTCCAACTGCCAAGTCCAAAAATATGATCGACAAAGGGCGGCAAAAGCAGGCAGCAGCATCACAAGGCATTTTCACATGAAATTCTTGCAAATGAGTCGAACAAACTGTCTTCAGCACCTCTGCCAACAATATCTGGGTGATGCACCTTAAGCCTTATCAATGTCCAACCTGTTGTTTCCCAATGCTGCTCCCAGGCGCTATCAGTGAACCAGGTGGTGGGGAAGGACAGCACCAAGGATCCCACTGCAAAGGTCCTCAATGGCACCTTGCGTGAGGAAAGCCGAATGCATTTGTACAGGCAGAGCCACCAAGCAACTAGTACAAAGCAAGTGACCATGATACTAAGTAAATTGCGAATAGCAAGGACATTCCGTGTACCATCTGGTCTTTCTGAGCAGGCTGTGTATGCTGCTTCTCGTCCAGACATTTGGAAATTGCACCCTCATTTTGCTTCGTCGTTGTCACAAATTTCCTTGTCACAATTCAATCAAGCTGCGCGTCTTTCACTTGAATGCCAGCGTGAATGGAGCTGATCACCAAAGCGCCAGCCAGTAACCATTACTCCATAATTATCTGCGGAAGCACGCCGCACTGTACAGGCAGGGCACCCAACTGGCGCAGGCCATGTTGACCCAAAATCCCAAACTTTGCTTGGCCTTTCGACACCCCTAACTTCCCAACCATGTCAAGTAAACAGAGTACACCTGTGGATAGCCAGCCCATTCTGGATCGGCTTGCAAGAATCGAATGACAGGTTCGTAGCACCTGCTCCTTCAAACACAGCTAGGCCATGCTTGGATGGGTGTTTGTAGATATATATATATATATATATATCATTGGAATCTGGTTGACATTTATCTCATCCAAGCGCTGCCTGCCAAAATCCTCACCATGTCATGTGGAGACATGCCGCGCTGTTGAAATTTTCAAAACTCTCCAGCCTTACAGATCTTGGACCTCATTGAGCTGAACCTCACATCGCAGCCACAACATATGTCCATTTCGCCAGTAAAGGGCGGAGACTGTACGGAATGTTCCCTTCGGCGCCAGTTCAGCGGTATCTGATGGCAGCCAAGAGCGGCATGAGGAGCGGAGAACGGAGTTGAGAAGCGGGTCACAGGCCACTTAGGGCCTGATTCCCCATGGTCATCCTGATAACCTGTAGAAAAATGTACTGAAATACTTGCATGAACCAGAAAAATCTCGACAGCCACCACAGCAATGCTAAATGATCTGCGAGCATTGGCTGACTTCACAACTCTCACTTTAACTCAAACGCATGTCATGCTGGTGGGTCACTTTGTGCGAAGCCCACACTGGGCTGCTGTCAGGCCTGGGTTCCGTGCATTTCTGGCAGACAGCATCGAATCAAAGACGCAACAAATCACAGTTGAATATAGTACTTGCAAGACTGTTATGTCGCGTCAAAAAGTCCGCTATGCCTGTGACAGCAGTCCACTCTTCAAAGTTTCGGGTTGTACCCGCACCCGACGAATCAAAGCTGACCCCGGGATCTTCACTGAGGATTTTCGCAGGTGACTGCACACGTGCGGTGGTTTGGAGCTCAGTGGTTCTTCAAGGTTTAACGTGGCTACCCGCCTAAGTGTGGAAAGCCTGCTAAACCACCGACGAGCAAGGACAAAAGATGCTCCGATGCCGAGGAAAGGCCTTGTTGACAAGGGAAAAAGCGCTGTCCATAGCAGTCACCGCCATCTTCAATAAGCGCTAGAAGCGCAATACTGGAGCACCTCTTGCCATGTCAACCTAGTACGGTTGACTCTTTCAAGGAAGTCGAATGTACGACAGGCCGCTTCTTGATAACCACAACAACCCAAACGAACCTTCTAGCAGAAAGGGGCAAAGGCGTTCAAATCAAAAGGCCTCCTCCTCCTCACATGAGTTCCCTTGGCTGCTAAACCATAAGTTGTTTGTTAAGTTCCGTCAATCATGGACCAGTGAGAATGAACAAGTTTACAATATGCTCTTCCAGGCCAAAGTTTACTCAGAAAAAGAGAACGAAATAGTTTGTATGTTACGCGCCAAAATTGAATGAATGTGCTTCGGGCACCCCATGGCCGCCCAATGAATGTCGGTCTGCCTACCAAGGCTCACAGCCCTCACGGCTCACACCGACTTGCTGCGCCTGCGCTGAACCTTGGGGAATGGAACCAGCCAAGCCACGAACGAGGCGAAGAAAATTTGTTTGACTTGCAGTCACAAGCCGAACAAACTAAATTCTAGAAGCCCATTCTCCGAAATTTGTTCTTTCTGCAAACGCCTGAAACCCCGTTGGCCCTGTTGGCACTGGGATCCTCCCAAAAGCCCCGTATACACTCGGCATGTCTGACTTCCATGGCCCCAGAGCCGACGCCTACAGCCAACGCTAAGCAATAGTTTAAAGTCTCCCCAGCCAACCCAAATCCCGAACCTGCGGAGCGGCTGGCTGCTCTTGGGGTTTTACCGAGCCCCAGCCCTTTGCCCTTCGACCACTGTCTTTCTGGCCCTCAGGACCACGCGCCGACAACAACGCCCTTCCCTGGACTAGGCTAGCCCGACACACACAACTACAGGAGGAGGAAGCATATCCACCCAAAAGAGCCGCGAGCGGACCGCTTCTCGGCGTGAATTGGCTCAGATATGGCCAGGCCTTGAAAGCCTCTCAAACACTGGGTATGGTGCTCCTGTTGCTTCTGCTGCTGTTGCTGCTGCTGCTGCTGTTGCTGCTGCTGT